CCTGGCCGAATGTGGCATGCGGGTGAAGCAAGTACATGAACAGCACACTTGCTCAGCACGTGGTGGTGGCCAGACCGCTGAAGTCCTGGTGAGGAAGGTTCTTCATGGTTGGAAGGAGAAGGAGGGACGTCTGTTACGCCTTCGGGAGGCTGGTCAGGGTTGTCCATCACCTGGTGGCGGATGAAGCGGCTCAAAAAATTCATAAACTTACGAACAAAAGTGCGATGCGCTCTTCACTGCAGATCAGATGCAGATGGCAGTCAGTGCAGATCTTTTGTATCCTTTTGTTGCAGATGTTTCTATTTGCAGAGAACGGTTCACGTGGTCCGCAGCGCTTGTGCGGCTGCTAGTGCTACGCCATAGCTAGGCTAGGTGGCTACATGATTTGCACCCTTCGCGTGCTCAGTGCTTCTGCGCGCGGCTGCTACTGCTACTCGTACGAGTACTGCACTGATCGTGTCTGCAATAAGCGCTACCACCTACACTGTTCGCACGCTTCGCGTGCTCAGCACGTGGTGGTGGCTACACGATTCGAACGCTTCGCGTGCTCAGTGCTTCTGTACTGTGGCTGCTTCCGCTAGCTAGCTACACGATTCGCACCCTTCGCGTGCTCAGTGCTTCTGCGGCCGCTAGCTACACTGTGCTACACTGTTCGCACGCTTCGCGTGCTCAGGGCAGCGTGACATACACACACACGTCATAGGTGCCTCTTCTTTATAAGGAGCGTGACACACACACACACAGACACACGTCACAGGTGCCTCTTCTTTATAAGTAAAGATGTGTGTACAGCTTATTCACGGCTGCATGGCCAGCGCCCTGGGGCCGCTAGACGTGCGACCGGATTTCCATGTCCACGACTGTAGTACAATCCGTCAATCGTCTTGTACATGCTAGATGAAATCCGATCGTGCGAGCCAAGTCTGCGCAGAGCGTTGTGCAGTATTATTGGATTTCACTGGTGCAGGGCGCAAAGCTAACACACTGGATCGGATTTCATTGACTAGCACTGTAGAGCACGGTAGAGTGTACTGGTGCAAAGAATAGAATGATAGTCGAATCTGTGGGTTAGGATTCGACGAATGATCGAACATTCTCAGTACGGTCGAAGCGAAGCAGAAGAACAGCAGCTAAGTAATAGCAATTAGTTGATAATACACATATTAATAATAATAATATCTTTATTAGGATGACCCAGAGGCTTGTCGCCTATCAAGGGGTTCACCGCTTTGAAGGATGTACATGTACACGTATGAGCTAAAGTGAAAGTAGTGAAAAGTTGTGCAGCGGGAATGCGTTGGGGAGCACACGGGGGGGGGGGGGGGGGGGTTATGTACATGGCGTAGGCATACCGGAGAGCAAAGCACTTATAATGATACAGTCATGTAGTATAATGAGCAGGTCGGAGTTGGAGTGGTCTGACAGTGTGACAGTGTTCCGTAAGCTGTGACTCGAGACGAGTCTGAGTCGGACTGAGCAGCGAGCACTCCAGATATAATAAGACCAGAGCGAGAAAGAACGGTCCAATCAAGCACTCAACGAGCGCATCCTCGGCCGCGCATCACAAACGTAGATCTACACTACAGTACTGACATACTGACTGTACATACTAGGTAAGTCTGTGGTGTAAAATGGCCTGCACCGCAGTTTGAAGCCGTGCTACATAGTCTGTGGGCCAAGTGACAAAAATGTGAATTCTCGTTCCGAGTAAGAGGGCACCGCAATTTTTTTGGCCCAGTCGATAGATGGACTGGCATACATTGAAAACCCGTTTGTTGTCATTCCTGAATTTGTCCAAGGGTTGCACGGCGAGTGAAATACAAATCAGCACCGGTTGCCATGGTAACCAGAACCTAAAATTGGATTTTCTGGCTAATTACAATGTTTTTGGTATTGTTATTTTTCCATAGGGTCATATATCCAGAGTGCCTCCTTCCCAGATTCAACTGGAAAGAGAAAAATAGGATATAACATGAAAAATAAAGAAAAACAAAATGCCCAATACGTCCATATTGTTCATGTACACAGACGTGTGCAAGAAGACCGCGTGTGTCGAACGCAATACTGTAACTACTTCGAAACATCATTCGAGTCATTGTATACCATTTTATCAGATCATAATAGGACTGGCTGTGGCATGCACGTACTGTACATTGCAGAATACTATGTCTGATCTAAGAATATCTCAGACCGTTCAATACAAAAATGGTGTACATTATACAGATATGAGGCAGAACACACAGCCGCATTTATGCATTGCATAGTTATTATATGGGTTGCAGAATAATCTGAATGTCCAGAGAAAGGATCACAACACTGTGACCATCTGCACAGGTCACTGACAGACCAGACCTGAAGGACCGCGTGACCCCGGAAGACTACGTTTGTTGCAGCTGTGTACGAGGGAGACTTCGTCATCATAACACTGACTTATACTGCAGGATTAGCCATACGGAATATGTTTCATGTTGCCGAAAAAGGTCGACCTGTAGAGAATAATCAGGTCACAGAAAATACACAATTCCAATTCCAATGATCACCCAACGTGTGGACAGAACTAGTTCGTCCTTTGTGGACTCATCAGCGCAGCACAGAGGAAATGAGGCCGAAGCCGATGGCAATGAAAATAATCGCAATGATCATTCCCGTGCATTTTTATATCTCCCACATTGATTTTAGTCCACATGTGATATTGATACTGAACACTGGGCAAACATCAGAAGGACTTGAATTGGGCATGATGTACAGTCACGTACATGTTCATGATTGTACAATGTGCATCGCTGAACTCTAATGAACACTCAATCTTCAATCACATTATACATACCTGTCAGGATGGGCATTCTTTTTCTTATTCATCCTCGTCTTCACTGAGTTCTGCAGTTACTTGAAGCTCCAGTGGTTGCCCATTCTCACACTCCTGGCCTGAGCGAGAGCACTTGCAAGCATCCGTGCAATCGAGGTGCTGTCTCCGGCAGGGGCAATGTCCGTGCTTGCAGCCTGTCGTGCAACCGCATGAAACAAATTCCATCAGGCTCGATGGTGCTGGTGCCAAGCTGAGCCAGTCCACTTCCAAACCACCGCCAGAATCAATGGTCTACCCTTGACCAGGGCTATGCGGTGGTGGGACATCCGCGGAAGCTTCCAGAGCACGGTGCCAGATACTGGCCTGGTAATTTGCTCTTGCAGTATGCTTGCGCAGCGCATCTTGGCAAGGAGGAAGGGAGCTGAATTGCGTCGAGCGAGAGCAGAACATCTGGTATCGCACTTCGTTGATAGATGTGGCGGTGTTGAAGCCGTATATACCGCAAGTGAACTGCTCGATGCAGGCGAAATGTCAGCTGGTAGTGCGTCAAATGATGCACCGAGTGCTGCCATAGCCTTTCGAGCCAGCTCGCCTTTTGGGGTTTGCTTGGTGATCAGCTGAAATGCTAGCTTCTTCCCTCTGCCACTGAAGGCATTGGTTGTGTCACAACCTGTATAGGCATGCATCCCCATAATGGCTTCGCAAACAGGGGCACTAAGCTCTCGTGTAATTCCTGTAGCATTGTTTATGGTAGTTAACCTCGCGCGCAAATATTCCAGAGACGGATTGACCAATTGCAACTTGGACCTTTTCGTCTTTTCTGATGTTTGCTGCGTATAACATGTACATAACAGCTTCGCTGCAGCGTGTGCGTATTCACACCTGCTTGTGGACTGGACTACAATTCTTCCGGCCAGGTTGCTGGCGCCTCTCCTTCCCACAAACTGATATGCAGCCCTTCATGCCTGGAGCTACGACGGGCGCGGCTAGTGCGGCGCGCATGCTGGGGCGGCGCTTGGCTTCTGGCTCTATCGACTCCGGCACAGACAGTTCTTCCGAATGGCTAGATGAGGGGTACTCTGCCTTCTTCGGAGGGTTATATTCGTTATTTTCTGGTAACATTTTTTGTGGACGCCTCCGTTTTCAGGCCAAACATCACTACGACATAACTCCCTGAGCTCAGCTAAATTTTCTACGGCAACAGCTTCACTAGTGCATATTTCACACACCTTCTTCCACGTAGTCTGGGGGAAGGGCTTCACCTCCTCACCGCACTCCGGAACGTGAATGAGACACTTTAAACTCATCACGACGCTTACTTCTAGTGCTACTTGACCACAGACATACTAGTACAAACTGAAACCAAAAAAACGATCTCGAAATGAAAGTTCAAACTGAGAAGGAATATGCCAAGTATTGGGTGCACGCCTGCACTGCAGTGCAGAGAGTTAGAATTGTGGGTCCGGGTGCACGCCTGCAGAGAGTGTGCAGTGTACCAGATCGTACCAGATCACGACTTGACATGACAGGTAACACTGAATTCGTGTACTTTCGTCTATTCTGGTGCATAATCACATTTCACAGCACCACACACAAGGCGCATGCATGAATGCATACAAAACAATGGCCGCCGAGAGAGAAATTTTCAACATGGAAAAGCCGATTTTTGGATACCTTTCAGAAAGTTGTCAGAGTGACAACAACCGGAATCCTGCTCAGTAAGGTATCTAGAGTAGACGTGGCCAATAAAATTGCGGTGCCCAAAAGTCGGAACGAGATTTTTCTAGGAGGCCTTTTTTCAGGTTTGGCCCACGGACTAACATTATCATTGCCTACAATCAGTCATCACTCATCAGGGTCATGTACTAGTACTACTAGTCTAGTAGTATGTAGCTCTGTACTGTAGCTCTGTGACTGACTATACTATAGCTCTAGCAGCAGTAGCCAGTGCAGTAGCAGTAGCCAGTGCAGGCTGTCGTAATAAAACGACTCATCCGTGTTCCATTCCCGTGCATGGACAGTAGCCAGCCAGTACAGTAATCATGCCCTGGTTAGTGGTTATGCGAGTGCAGCTGATTGACTGTCTTGCAGCTTGGTAGACTTGAGTTGAGATCTTGGCTTTGGTTTGGGCTTGGCGCACGCTATCTGGCTGTGAGTTACATGACTGTCATGTCTACTGTGATCTGTATGCGTTTCCACTAGGCACTACATCATGCTCTGTATGACTCTATGACTTTATGAGTCTGCCGTTCAAAGAAAATAAGGATGTTTGGAGAAGCTGAGTGGAAGAGGATTCCCACACACAACCAAAGCTGCCGAGCTGCGGTGTATGATACTGTTTTTGCTAAGTAAATATTTGCACCACACGCCTGCATGTCAGTTGTGCGCCAAGGCTCGACGCGATAGTACGTTTTCGTGTCGGCGGCCTTTTAGCTAGCTGGCTACCGCTCTCGAGGTCGGTGAGTTCGCTGGTGAATTATCGACATCACAATCATCCCTGCACTAGGCTGGAGTAAAGATCTAGCGTGAGTAGCGGTTTGGTGGCGTCCCTGCGCTAACGTAAAAGTCGAGGAGGACGGCTAACGGTGAGTAGAGTAGTGGAGGTGAAATGGGCGAGTCGTCCAAACGACGTAGGGAAGCTCGCTAGCAGTAGGGCTGATACCGAATGCACCAACGGAGGCGACTTCGCTTGCGTAGCGTGTGCATGATCGTTTCTTGTCGTTGGCGCTTGGCGCAAACCTAACTGCCTCGGTTCCCGAGCTTCGTACGCACCCGCGTGGCCCGCTGTTGGCCCGCACATGGATCATTCTCGCGGCACTTACCCTTCTGGCAGCGCTGGGGCAGCGGGCTCCGGGAGTGGGCACCACAACGGAGCGACGGCAGCGGCTGCGATGAACGGAGACCTGTCGAGATCGGCACCAGGCGTGCGGAACCAACTGCTGGAAGCCCAGTTGGGCCAGGCCTCCTCGTCGCTCGGGTGCCTATCGGGAAAGTTCCTGGAAACGCCAGAGATCAACATCTGCGAGATGGGCAGCCTGGAAGACCTGGACATCCTTGAGGAGCTGGAGGGCCTGGAAGAGGTCTGCGTGGATTCTGAACCAGAGGATGGTGACGATACGTCCGATGTGTCCTCCCAGTACAGCGATAGCTTTGCGTCCATTCAGGACCTGCTGTCGAAAGCGCCGGAGAAGCGCAGCGCCGACGACCTGGACGTGATCATGGACTATATCCAGCACCTACCGGCGTTCGCCAACATGACGCTGCCCGTGCGGGAGAAGCTGTGCGCCCTCATGCGCCTGCAGACGTACGAGCGAGCACGCACGGTGCTGGTGCGCTCCGGCGAAGAGGTGGACCGCTGGTGGGTGGTGTTCGGCGGCGCGGTGGAGCTCGTACGCGAGTCCTACGAGCCAGCCGTCTTCCACCTGGGCGAGGCGTTTGGCGTGTCGCGCGCCCACAAGAAGAAGGTCATTCAGGCGGGCTCGCTGGTGACGCGCGGCACGGAAACGCTGCTGCTGAGCGTCGCCGCGGAGCAGTTCCACGACGTGTTTGCGCAGTCGGAGCAGGCCACCGTGGAGGTGGTGGAGGACGGCGCGCTGGTGATGGTCACGGAGTATCGCAAGACGGGCAAGACGGAGTGGGGCCAGGTGGTGGTGCGTGGCGCGCGGGCCAAGCTCGTGGCGCACCTGGTCGTGGGAGACTACGACCCGGCGTACGCCGAGGACTTCCTCCTGACGTATCGCACGTTCATGACGGCAACGGAGCTCGCCGAGCTCCTCGAGCAGCTGTTCCTGCACGCCGAGCTGCGCGACCGCGTGGCCCGCGTGGTGCTGCTCTGGGCGAACAATCACATCGAGGACTTCAACGGCTCGGTGGAGATGATCGGCTTTCTACGCACGTTCCGCCGCCAGCTGGAGGAGACGAACTTCCTGGGCGAGCTGCGGCTGCTGACAATAGCCGTGCAGAGTAAGGGGACTTTCCCACTTGTAGAGCATGCTGGCGGCGATTCAGACGCTCCTCATGACCAACAGCATGTGGCGGGCAGGTCACGCCTGGCACCCCAGCAGCACGCGCACCAGAACGGCATCAGCGGGCACCTCTCGTCTTCGTCCGGCGCTCTGAACGCCGTGGGCGGTGGGGGCGTCGGCGGGGCTGCGGACAGCTCTCCGCGCTCCTCCACGCTGTTCGGTCGGCGCCTGCACGGCTTTGCGAAGCGCTACGCGTCCACGTCGAACATGCGCTCGGCAAGCATGCGCGTCGCATCGGCGCCGCACGCGCGCAAGACCTCTCTCTCCGTGCCCATGAACAGCAGTCCCGCTGGCGGGGGTGGAGGGTCTTCTTCGGCGTCCGTGGTGGCAGCGTCGGCGAATCGTCCCTCCAGACCCACGTCGCCGTCTAGCCTGTTGCCGCTGAGCGTGATCAAGCTGTACCGGCACGATCACCAGCACCGCTACCTGACGGTTGGCGCGGCGACAACGGCGCTGGACCTGGTGCGCATGGGCGTGCGCCAGTTCGAGATGCCCGACTCGGAGGAGTCGTTCTCGCTGTGCCGCATCACCGTCAGCCAGCAGGGCGTGGTGCAGCAGACACGCCTACCGGACGCGTTTGCCAACCTGCCGGCGGAGCTGCGCCCAATGTCGCGCTTCTACCTGAAGTCGAACAAGACGACGACGAACCTGGTGCACGGCAGCAGCCTGGTGACGGACATCATGCACGACGGCGCCTGCGATCTCCTGAGCCTGGACACACGAGATGTAGCACGCGTGGTCACGCTACAGAGCTTCCTGACGTTCCGCCGCATCAGCGGGGCCGAGTACGTTAACTACATCTGGGATCTCAACGGTAATGGCAGCGGCAGTGGTGGCAAGGATCTTCCCGGGGGAAAGGAGCAGAGCGACTTTCAGCGTTTCTCCAGCACCACCAACAACGAGATGTTCTGGGTGGTCACCGAGATCGTCAGCGAGCCGTCGATGCAGCAGCGCGTGCGCAAGATCAAGTTTTTCCTGAAGGTGGCCAAGCTGTGCCGGTCGCTGCGCAACTTCAACACCATGTTCGCCATCACCAGCGGCCTGTCGTACGGGGCCGTCACGCGACTGCGCCAGACCTGGGAGAAGCTTGGCGCGCGCGATATCAAGGTGAGTTGCCGTATTAACCCCGAGTATAAGCCACACTGGCGTAAATGCCGCACCTTGATGCTCGTCGCAAAACACAGACATCTGCCCTGTTTATCACCGCAAAATTTGACCATCGTACTTGTACTACAAGTTGTATAAGGCAAACTGACTTTTGTTGGGTGAATTACTGGTGTTCCAGGGGTGGATCCAGGAGGGGTTCCACAGAACCCCCTAAATTTCGTCAATCTACCACAGTCAGACCTCGCTTATCCGGTCCTCTTTTATCCGGATCCCTCGCCGTCCGGAAGAAAATCGTTGGTTACCGATTTACAGCATATGTCCTGCATGCATACAGTATGTGCGTTCGATAATCCGGTTCGCTCGCCTATCCGGATTTTTGTGGGAAACGGATGTGTGCGGTTATGCGAGGTCTGGCTGTACTGTACTAGCAACCGTATGCGTGTCCATGTACGTATCAGCTATTCAGTGTTGACTATACTGGACCCCCCCCCCCCCCCCTGTAGAGATCGCTGGATCTCCCGCTGTGTTAACAGTTCAGGTTATACAGTCAACTTCGCTAATAACGACTGCGGATATAACGACAATTCGCGAATAACGACATATATTTCTTGCCCAGAGCAAAGTCCCATCCAACTGTGACACATATAATGAGACTTCGGGTATAACGACACTTCGCGAATAAGGACACTTTTCTGATGCCCCGCCGAGTGTCGTTATAAGCGAAGTTGACTGTACTCCGAAAATGCGGAATAGGAAACCAGCCATGTCAGGCACATTATTGTTCCAGCACACTCGTATCTCTCTTGTCTGGGCGATCCTGGATCGGGCAGTGCCCATAGCTCGGAAATGTCCGAACCCTACATCTTATACGTTTTGATAGGAAAGGGCTCTGGCATATGCCGTCATTATTTCCACCGAAAATAGGCAAAAAGAGTAGCAACATTTCACTACATTAGGGTGCATGGTAGACGGAGGTACCCGCAACTTGGAGCTCTGTTTAGGAGGTAATGAGTGCAGTTACTCGATCTGCGGACACATCTGTGTGAAGTTAGTGTGGATGATTCTCTATGTACCAGGTACCAAGGGCACCCGTTTGACTACCCGTGCATATGCCTGGTTTTAGCCAACATATGTGTAGTTATAAGCAGGTTGCTCACAGAGCCCGGTGTGAGGGACAGATTTGTTTTCCCACTGTGGACGGTTGTGTGTGTGTGTGTGTGCGCGCGTGTGCTGCGTGCGTGTACGTGCACATGTGTATATGTAAGAGGGAGAGACAAAGGGGAGAAAGATAAAGAGAAAGAGGGGAGAGAGACACACAGAGAGCCGAAGAGAGCTGCGTTTAATCACACCCTATGTACAAGTACTTTCCCAGACATAGTTGCATGCTTCTGGTTGCTCAAGTGTGTATTTGTATGTATATTCATGTGTGCACATGTCTGTGTATGTATGTATGTATGTATGTATGTGTGTGCATGTCTATCTATCTGTCTGTCTGTGCACATGCCTACGTGTCTATCTACACATGTTTTCCCCCATCCCTGCAACAGAGCATTGAGGAGATGCAGATCCTGATGAATCCGTCTCGCAACATGCTCACCTACCGCTCAATGGTGAGCAGCGTGTCCGCTCCCATCGTCCCCTTCTTCCCCGTCGTCACCAAGGACCTGACCTTCATCTACCTGGGCAACGACGACCGCATCGACGGCCTCATCAACTTCGAGAAGCTGCGCATGATGGCGCGGGAGATTCGCCACATCAACGGCTTCCACGCCAGCAGCTACGACGTCACGCGGATGCTGCGCGACCCGAAAGACAAGCTGACGGACCGCGACGTACGTAAGATCTACGAGCAGTGGTTCTCCATGCGCCGCGTGGAGCACTACCTCAAGGACCTGAACATCATCAGTGACGAGGCGGAGCTGGACGCCATGGCACAGAAAGCGGAGCCCCCGCCGAGCGTGCGAAACACCTCCGGTTCAACGCTGGAGATCCGGTGATAGCAGCGTGCACGATGCATGTGTGCAGCTGTGCAGGTCAGCGTTGTACGACCATTGGGATCTGATCACAGAATCAGAGTCTCCGTGTTTGTTTTCGTGGCAACCGTCCGCAGTCCCAGTCGACCGTGTTCGCAGCCGTGTTTGTTGCCTGGCAACCCTAGCCGTCACGATGGAAATGCGACAAGCACATGCACCCGTGCGTTGGATTTAGTTCTGCAAAGTCACAGCATGGCAGCTATGCACATCAACCTGTTGCAAGTTAAGTGGAGCGATGACGATTGTCATGTAGCAGGTTCCAGTAGCCGCCACCCCCAGCAATCTACGGAGAGCGGTCGAACGGGCAAAGACGTGTTGCTTATTACCGGTCACATGTCTTACAATGGCCGCGTTTCTGTCGTACCATACCGTACACCTGCCGCCGTCGCTTCTGCTTCCGCTTCTCCTGCTGCCTCCGCCACTGCCACTCCTGTTGCCAGGTTATCATTCACTGATGTCCGGCAGTAGTAGCTTATGATGTGTGCAGTGGAGGAAAGCACGACCAGGGCTTGCCAACATTCACCGACATGCAGCACCTAGCCGACATACACCCGAGCATGTGTAGCACACGGTGGCAATCCCTTGTACTGCAGCAGTTAACATCCTGTGTGTACGCGCGCATGTCTATGTGTACCTGTGCATGCGTGCAGAAAACATGACACAGAGCTAGACAAAATGCACCTGAGTGTGTGTAGCACAGCGGGAATCTCCTGTAGACGTTCACAACAGCACTAAGCCCAATCAGCACTCGCGCTGCTGATGTGTCGACAGCCGCTTGCCACATGGCTTAGGTGCTGTTTTCCGACTTTTCTCTTTCCTCGTTTTACGGCACAGTCAAACGTGTCTGTGTGTGTTTTTTGTCCGTGTGTTTGTTCATGTCCGTGCATATGACTTTATCCTCGCTTGAGCCCGCAGCTTGATTTCACGTTGAGTTTCTTCAGCTAAGCTTTGACACGCGTTGACCCAGCCCTCACTTGACCGCCGCTGCCACCATGCCTGCTACAGCTAGCCCCGTTCACATGCATGCATGCACCAGCTAGGCCAGGTCTCCTGCATCGAGGCAGTGCCGATACTGCCATGAGCACACTGCGAGCACACATCAGCCTGTGCCTGCGTCGCTCCCTGCCAAGCGCAGGGACGTTCCCTCACTGCCTAGCATGACCTGCTATGTGAGGGACATTCTCTCGCTTAGCCTAGCCTGCACTGTCTGCTCAGTTCACCAGAAAACTGGCCACGCCACCATGCAGAGTTGCCAGAGCTGCAATTACTGCTGCTGAGCTGTGCAATCAATGTCCACACATTTTTGGAGAACTTATCAAGTCTTGTCGACAACAGCATTCTGTTGACTTTGATGCTAGATGCTGGAGGCGAACCTGACAACCTATATCATCTATGAATTCAATTTTATCTCTGTGTTATATAGAGGGCGCACTCATATTCACCAGGCTAGCAATGAATTGATTAGTTTTTTTTCCGGGAGATGAAAAGGAAAATAGGTATAAATAAAAATATGTTCTCTTTCATTCTCATCTGATCAATTTTTGGCCACCGTCCGCACTATATGTACGACTACATGTATAGCTATTATTCCCGTATATGGGGTACCGAAGAACGTATGTAACGATGATGGTAGTGTGCAAGACGTGTGTGCGGGGTGCACATTATTATACCTAGTTGTCTGACTTGCTGTGTTCGCTCACTGCTACTCTATGCCTATCGGTGATGTGTGTGTGTGTGTGTGTGTGCACGTGTCTGTATTTGTGTGTGTGTGTGTGTGTGTGTGTGTGTGTGTTTGTGTATTCGTGTGTATGCATATGTGTGTGTGTGTGTGTGTGTGTGTGTGTGTGTTTGTGTATTCGTGTGTGTGCACGTGTGCGTGTGTACATGTATATAAAGGGCGGAGCGGAGGTTGTAACATACACAACTCTTAAGTTACATGCTGCCAAACCATTCCCAAGTCAGGGCAGAGCAAGGAAAGTTTCAAATCAATGACATTGTGTAAAGTTGCACAATCTGGTCCATGTCACTGGCAAGTTGACAGTGACATCATCCAGATTGTGCAGACAGTGCATGTCAATCCAAGAAACTTGAAGTGTGTTTGTGATGGCAAGTGGAATGATCATACTTCTCTGGAAAAATGGCATATAGCAGTGGTGGTCGCTTTATGTGTGTGTGTGTGTGTGTGTGTGTGTGTGCTTGGAGAGATGTGGCAGCTTCAGACCTGCGTGCGACCGGTATCCCGGAGGCGCAATGGTACCACCTTGCTCAGGACTGGAGGGACTGGCGCGAACGTAGCCGTCGGAAGCCACCAAGCCAGCCCCAACCAAGAGTGTTCGTCTGTGTCTGCGGCCGCGACTTTCGCCGTCCGAATGATTTATCCCGACACAAGAACTACTGCCTCGCCTAATAGCTATCATCGCCTTCGACGATGGGCTTTCCAAAGGTCCAAAGGTGTGTGTGTGTGTGCACGTGAGAAATAATAAATGGCTGTGGGGGGGGGTAATAAATCTCCATAATAAGTCTCAAAATAGCACTCAGACAGTTTGGGAGACTGCCGTGGTTATACACAGCGTGTATAGGATCAACTCATCAAGGGTTCTACTAATATCGACCTGGACAATTTGAATCCAAAAAATTCTCACCTACACCCACGCTCACACCCAAGTTCACGCTCACATCCTTGCATGCATCCACAAGCTATTAAGCTTGCACTGGAAGCAGCTGCTTAGGAGCCGCCATAAAAAATAACTCTGCTGATAAAAATATGCGTCTTTAGTCAATCTCTTGGAATCGTCCAAGCCACGGCCTCATGATTGAGAACTGACCTAGCGGAAGGTCACGGCGGGGTGCTTAAGTTCGGCCAGTGAGTCATACTTCGCCGCAAGCTGGGGCCCCATCTCCTTGACGGCGGCGAGAAACTTGTCATAGCTCGCTGGTCCGCCAATGCGCAAACGTTCCATCAAGAGCATGTTATGCCTGATGCTGCCCTGGATCTCCTTGCCCTGCAACTCGAGCATGTCCGTGTCGGAGAGAAGCCCCTCGCCGAAGCAGACCAGGCGTGCCTCGGCCGGCTCCATGCTTTTGACCAGCCAGACCATTAGCTTGCGAAAGCGATCGTCGTGCCACGGATTGTGCCTCATGCCTGCGTTGGAATGTAGCAAACACAAGAGAGAGAGAGAGAGAGAGAGAGAGAGAGAGAGAGAGAGAGAGAGAGAGAGAGAGAGAGAGAGAGAGAGAGAAAGAAAGAGAGAGAGAGAGAGAGAAGATAGATAGATAGATAGAGAGATAGATAGATAGAGAGATAGAGAGGGAGAGAGAGAGTGAGGGGGAGATTGATAGAGAGGAGAGAGAGGGAGAGATAGAGATAGATAGATAGATAGAGAGCGAGAGAGAGCGGGCGAGCGAAAAAGAGAGAATGAGGATGTGGGATGGTGGTGGTGGTGGTGTTGTTTGTGTGTGTGTGGGGGGGGGGGGGGGGGCTTGGCCTGTGCTATATACACGTAGCAGCTTATCGTAACCTCATTGCATATCTGTACTCAGTGCATTCCCAACAAGCCATGCTTGAAACACATCTTCTGTGTTCATACAAAACAATCAATAAACTAAGATGTTGCGACATCGGCGCTAATTGGTGAAGAATGTTTCTGCTCGGAACGCTGGGATTCTCGTGTGCTCCAGACCCAGCCGTGAATCAGCCAAGTGTCAAGTCAGTCGGCAGGAAGCGCAAGCTCCGACCGTTCGGAGCAGACACTTTCTTAACAAACAAACTATTACCGGAACAACTGCCGTCAGTTTCATCCATGCTGGACGGTCGACTGGCCCAGCCAGAGCTGTTACTTCTGTCAAAGCTGCTGCTGTCTCCAGTCTCCGCTACTCCTGTCCGGGTGCGGCTGCCGGCTGTCTCCTCGACGGGCGCAGCAAAGCACGTCACGTCCTTGCCGCCCAGCTCCTTCTGCTCGGCCGAGCGCAGTCGGGCCGCCAGCTCGTGATTGGAGCGGAGCGCGGAGTGCTGGAGCGCGTCATGGAAGACGGCAAAGGCACTGCGACCGCGCGACGGCAACAGCTGCAGGATAATTTCCGCCTGGTGATATGGGGCAATGGGACAGAGTCACAGCAGAGGAGATATTGGAATCATGACATCAGAGTCAGATGACAGGACATACAGTCGTCCCTCTCTAATCCGGCACCTTTTGCTACGGCATTTTCTGCTGGATTAACGAGGGTGCTGGATTAAGAAATCCTGCCCTCTGACCCGGCCCTACCCAATTGCATGCATGTATCATACGTCAAAACGCAGGGTTTTTCCGTGTCGACTCCAGTATTTGGTGCACGGCTTTATATTCTCAACTTTTCTCCAGGAATATACACAGTGATAAAGTAAAACAGAGAACATGTTCACATGTATACGTACTCTTGCACACACACGCACAGTCGATTTACGACTGCCGGATTATGAAATCAAACTACGTGCAGTTTGAGCGATTCGTTTCAAAAAGTCACTGCCGGAGGCGGAATTCAAGTGCCGGATTAAGATGTCGGAATTGAACGAAAAAAATCGGTTTCGTCAGAAAGTGCGCCGGTTGGCAAGGGTTCCGGATAAACAAGTGCCGGATTAGAGAGGGACGACTGTATTCTGCAATATTTATTCAATTTTATTGCTACAGTACTGTCGGGCGCCGAAGAACTGGGGGTCAGGGTTATAGCCTAGAGTGTGCCTAGTTTTAGCGAACACAGCAGTTTCATTCTTATTCGATGGTACAGTCATACATGTACATGTACACTGAGTGTACAATAGTGTTACATTACGGTTTCCGTCCTTACAATTATCTGCAAAAAATGCAGCGAAGACCATTCTTAAGAAAATCTAGCCTGGCCGTTCTTCGGAGGTCCGTTCTTCGGCGCCCGGCAGTACTGTATTTCATTCTACAATATATTATTCTTTCAAAGGAAATTACAGACGTTGGCGGACCTGTAGGTAAGGGCATCATGAGTGGTGTGGTTGAGGGGATTTGCCGTGGAGAACATATACGCAAAAGAAACACGATACAAACACTCTGCTTCACTATATCCCCACCCCACCCAACCAGGTAATGCTTTTCTGCCCTGCTCACCCCCCCCCCCCTCCCCCCGCAACCAACACTTTGCTTTTAAACGGTATCCCCCCCCCCCCCCCCGCAATCAGATACAAATGCACTGCTGCCTACCCCCGCCCCCCCCCCCCCCCGCCCCAGTCCACTCATGTACAAGCACTCAAGTACAGTAAAACCTGTCAAGGCGACCACTCGAATAGAGAACACAACCTCTCCCTGACTACCACTGCAACCAGCACCAAGGGATGCTAATTCCAGCCAACTGCACCTGGCAACAGAGACCTGGTTTCGAAAGCCCCTTCAGAGCGGTCGTCTTAGGGCAGGTTTCACCGTACTGCAATGCCCTACACCCCTAAGCACAGAGCTGCTGACTCACCTGCTCCCTACCGCATACCGGCCTGCCACCACCACCGCCATCGCTCTCCTTGGCCTTGATATCTAGCTTCTCGGCCTCGGTGATGATGCGCTTGCAGTACAGGTGGTCGAGCAGGTGGTCATCCACTGCCAGGCTCTTCCGCAGGTCCATACGCAGTCGTCGCAGAATGCCCTCGTGTGCACGATCCATTTCCCCCGGTGCTGCCGCTGCTGCTGCTTGCGACAGGCCACAGTTGGCACACGTGAACGTCAGCAGTTCACCGGATTTGAGTCCACGAGGAGACTACGGAGTACGCTCCTGGCAACGGATTTTCCACCGTAGGTTGATTTTAAGAGATGCTGAATTGGCTGTAGTGGAGCCTCCTAATATGGAAAAAACCTGGTGTAGCAGCAGATATGCATGTATTACAGAGGTTATACGAATGATTACATTGGGATTTCCAAATGTGCACAAGCATACGAGCGTGAGTCAACAGATTTTCGAATTTTTTGAATGACAACTAAGTATGCAGCAGTGTGAGACAATTTTTTTTAATTTTTTGAACCTGATCAGTATGTGTGTTTGTGTGTGTGTGTGTGTGTGTGTGTGTGTGTGTGTGTGTGTGTGTGTGTGTGTAGGTTTGTGTATGTGTGTGTGTGTGTGTGTGTGTGTGTGTGTGTGTGTGTGTGTGTGTGTGTGTGTAGGTGTGCCACACTGGAAACTTATAAGCATTTCCAGGACAGTATTGCTGTGAATTATGAAAATGTTTTTGTACGGCTATTATAGAACTCGTCTATCCGTGTGGAGGCAAAGCAAACGCGGGCAACATTCTGCTGAAGCAAGCGCGGAGCTGAAGCTGGATTGGTGACTGACGTACCTGCTTACTCCACAACACCGGCGCATAATGATGTACATGTACAAGACTTCGTGCGCATTCAACTCAAATTCGTGTTCCGTCAGCGTCAGTATCAGCAAGTACATGTAGTACAATTTGTTCCCAAAATAACTTCGGAACAGTCTGTTCATGGTTTTCATTTGTATTGGACTCGTTCTCTACACTTGCGATAATTTAGCGGCAATTCTAATGTTGTGGCGTTGTTCTCTTGTAATTTAGTGGAACCTGTATTGAGTAACTGAGTTTTATGTTTCGTTACATTGTCGACAGATCTCCTGTGTACCGGTTTTGTGGCACAATGATTATAGCCATTTGTCGTCTCCATTCTTGTGCAATCATGCATATGTAGGTTGGTTCTCTTCATGTTATTGTGACCTATCTCATAGATCTGTCCCTCCAGGAAATCGCGATTCCACGGACGCAACAAATTTCGCGATTTTGGCCCAAACCCGCGATTTTCTGAAAAATCTGCGATTTCCCGCGTTTTTTGTTGTTTTCTGCACTTCTTTTGACATTTTTCTGCACTTTTCACGCAGTATAAAGTGCTTTCCATGATCCTGCTCGTAGGTTATTTCCACAGTACGCAAATAGCGATTCTAAGGATACAACAAACTTCGTGATTTGGCCCAAATCCGCAATTTTCTGCCAACAATTCCGCGAGTTCCTGGCAAGTTCCGCACTTTTCGCCGCATTTTTTGTTGTTTTCTGCCGCAATTTTTTGCGCAAGTTTTCGAGGATTTTTTCCGCAAATTCCCGCAGGGACAGATAGATGTTGGTTGCCTTGTTGCTTTCTCTCCCCTCTCCTCTCACCCAAGCCATTCTGCATAAGCGAAGCTGTGGACGCAGCATACTGCTGCTACACTTCAACGCGGGAATGCGTATAATAATAATAATTATAAAAGTGACGTCATAAAATTTCTATAAAATTGATACCAAATATTCTGGGCAGGCGTGTGTTTACCGCCATATTGCCAGGTGTGTCTTTACCACCATATTTATCAACCATATTAAAATTATTTATACAATGAGAAAGATCCATGATGGTCAAGCGCTGTAAAGCGCAAGACCGCCTGAGCAGGATACGGGTCTGACATGTGAAGCATTGAACCTCTTCCAAAGCTTACCTATAGTTTGATATACATGTAGATTAGTGGAAGTATATCCGCCACGCTGCAAGAAATACTACAATTCATCGACTCAGCTAGCTAGCTAGCTAGCCAGGCATACCCGTGCCAAACAGCCCTGGCCGTAGCGTCTGTATAGCTCTGTATACTGTAGCACGTCGATCACAACACAGACAGTGACAGTGGAACACTTACTGGGAGTGTGACTTAGAAGTAAGATCACAGCCACATTGCCTAGCGCAGTAGCCACGATCGACTCCAACTCGCAGCGGTGCTTACTGCACGATCGAATCCTACAAGTCCATTCATTAAAATGATATGAGCGCTGACAAAAATAAAAAATGAATGAAAGACACATAAGTACATGCAGGTCACGCGTGTACCATGCATGGCCCAACCGACCCTTGCCAAAAATCCGGTCTGGCGACTGTCCTGAGCTCATCAGGTCGTTTCGTCCTCGTTTTGGTCAGCAGCCAGACCATGTAGAGGTCTACCAGCTGGCTAACGAGTTACGTTAGCTAGGCCAGCACTCTTTTTCACCACGTAGCCCCCCCCCCCGCCCGTTCACTGACACACGTGACGTCCCTTTCTTACATTATCATCTCTTCCTATCCCCCCCCCCCCCCCCTCTGTTTTCTCTCTATCTCGACTCCCGATCCAATGATATTGATAAGCATCCATTTGCCTTTGGAGAATCAAAAGTAAGTAGACAGCCACAACAACAACAACAACAACAACTCCATCCATACCAAGTCTCCAACGCGGATACCAGTGATTAGGCCTTGTCTCACACAAAATGACTTCGTGAAGTGCAGAAAAAGTTTAGCATAAGTTAGTTGCTTACCATAAATTATTGTTGCTCAGACTAGCCCGCCCCCTAGCTCTCCTCGACCACCCTGTCACCCCTGATACTCCCTTGACTCCACTGTCAGATACTTTTTCTTTCGTAATTTTCTCCTTTCTTTTCTAAATTCTGCTCATCCATTCGCCTTTATATCATTGGGCCTAGTTCCCGTTTATTGTGCGAATAAAGATAGACAGAGCAACCAACCAACCTACCAACCAACCAAGTGGAACATACAAACAGAACTAACCATAATGTACACTGATGAAGTAATGGACCCGTTACATCGGATACTACAATGTCATTAGTTATACATATTCTGCTGCCCCATCGGGGTACGCCTTCTCGGAGTTTCCCAGTATTCATAAATTCTCCACAGGCCTTAGCCTAAATCGAGGAAGTCCCCGTCGGCAGGTTATGAAGAAGAAGAATAAGCCGAATAGAGATTGCATGACGCAATAGTTTTAAAGATGCAGGCACTGTACATGTAGACCTCGGCGGATAATGGCATATTCTGCTGGAAAAGCGGTGAACTTGGCAGATTCTGCTCGAAAAGCGGTGAACTTGGCAGATTCTGTTCGAAAAGTAGTGAAATTGGCGGATTCTGCTCGAAAAGTAGTGAAATTGGCGGATTCTGCTCGAAAAGCGGTGAACTTGGCAGATTCTGTTCGTAAAGTAGTGAAATTGGCGGATTCTGCTCGAAAAGTAGTGAAATTGGCAGATTCTGCTCGAAAAGTGGTGAAATTGGCAGAACCATTCAAACCTTATCAAGGCTTATGACAGGCACCTCCTCGAATTCTGCTCCATTTCTTCATCCACAGACCAAACATGCATGGAACATACCAAAAAAAAACACCAAGTTCGGCCAATTTTTCTGTCCGCATTGTTGTCCGCCAAGGGGTACATGTAGATGTAGCAGGCCAGCAAAACCCTGACGAGTGACGACGTTGTTCAGACCGGTTCAGTGGTGCACGTGCAAACCCAGACAGGCCCTTGATCAAGGTTTGGTTGGTTGCATGGTCTATTTTATTTTACTCCACCAGCGTGAACAGGCATTGCTGCCTTCTTGCTTGGATAAGTTAAAGTGGATTGCCCAAGCTCTCACCAAAAGACAAGGATAGAAATATTCACATGACATGAGAGTGCGAAGCATGCATGCAACAGGTCTCGCTGTAAAAGGGCTAGGTCAAGGGCAAGGTGGAGACAGTAAAACCGAACCATCACTGAAACGTCAGCCTTGATCATGGTGCACATGTGTAGTGTCTGCCAACCTGTTCGTGTCTGAAGCACTTTTGGACTTATACAGAAAGTGTAACAGGCTGGCAGCACTAGCCGGAGGAACTTGCAAGCTCTGAGGCTTCACAACTCTTTACTCTCGAAATCAATTCCACAAAGAACTGAGAAGAATCAGCGGGTTATATAGGCCAGGGAGAGAGAGCAGCTGGGAGTGAGGGCAAAAGAAAGCAGGAGGACAACGGGACTCGAAACAGTGTGGGAGGATGAATGGACCTAAGTGGCGAGCAAGGTTTATGCAACAGGAATGCAATCTAAAAGTATGGAGGAAACTAATGTGAATGGCAGGCAGGGTAAGGGGGCATAACGATTACTAGGAAGACAACTGTTGGAAGATCTAAGGAAAAGGCATTTGAATGTGTGTGAGCTAGGGCTGATCAATAACATGGGTTCGGGGAAGAAAGCTGTTGGATGGGAAGGCATCTCGCAAGTGATCAAAAGGGGTCAGTGAGGGGGGACAGACTACACAGGAATCAATGTAATGCATATTTACAGCATGAATGCAACAGGTCAGGCCGTACCGGTCTGCAGGCAGGTTTGTCTAGTAGTCCTACTTCAAAGTAAGTGGTTGCTGGGAGAAGCACTTAGCATGTACATGTGAACTACAAGTAGCTAGTAATACCAGGAGGTTGTGTGATGACTGTTCAGTGATACTGATAGAGCTAGAGATACTACACTCGCCCCTCCTCCGTTGAGACACGTCCTCGTGTCTACGGGACGGGTGTTCGTGAAAAGACAGACAAAGGTAAATTAAAATGTGTGAAGGATTTGCCTCTCTGTGAAGCTGGAAAATGTACATGTATGTGTTCGCGTCTCAATACATGTATTGGACGGTACAAGGGACGTGTTCCATCGCGTCACTCTTATTGTGGACGGTAATACTTCTTGACTCTCGTCTCTCTGGGACGGTTCAACCGGAAAGAACTCGCTCACCATGTGGCGGTTTAATCATTGTTACTTGTACTGGTTATTGGAGTGCGTGCTTGCGGGATATACTGTATTTGGGTCTGAAACGGATTGCTTGGTCGGAACGGGGTGGACATGATCGGGATGGGTAACGAAAAGGCTAGGACACTTTGTGGTCAGACCGGGGAGAAAGCGGTTGTAGGGGAGTGTCAGTGGGACGGAATGTTGGGCGATCTAGAACTGGGTAACGCATGTATCTGGACGGACATGAAGGTATATGGAGGGTTGTGAGTCCTAGGCTGTTGATCGAATGGTGTGACGGGGACTGGGAGTGGGATTGTCTGTGGGATGGAGTGGCTGAAGGAACGTGGAGGGCCTTGTGTATCGCGTGTAGTGTAGCAAACAAACTAAATGTGAGAGATGTCAGCAGGGGAACAACTTTGGCAGCAGAACGAGTTAGTGAGAGGGATATGGCAGCGAGGAGCATCAGGACAGAATGGAAAGTACTGCTGGATGGGGGAGCTTGCATAATGCGCGGCGTAGCTTGCACGATAGGGGTAGCATGTGTACTAGTAACAGTTGCATTTGACCGGGTTGATGATTGAGTAGGGATAAAGCAAGAAGGGTGACATACCTGGGTTGAAGGGAAGATGTGCCGTGTATCGCGACGACGATAGCAATACTCTATGGCATGGCCAATCTGCTTGCAAAATCGGCAATATGGGCGAAGACGAAAGGGCCGACGTCGCTTGGGTCGTACATATACCGGTGGCTGTAGTCCAGGGACATACCGGAGGGCATGGGAACTCGCTGAAGGATGATGGTGATCCATTTTGCCGAAATGCGTACGTGACAGCGTCGATCTGCTGTATGGATGGACTGACGAACCGGGATTCTGCATCGTTCTCAGGTCGTCATGGGTTCAGAAACGAGGAGCAGCGGGGGCAGGAGCAGCCGGGGCAGCCTGAGCGGGTTGTTGTTGTTGCTGAGCCATACTAATGATACTCGAGAACTACGTAACGGATGAGAGTTCAGGAAACAAAGGAAAGGACGGGGACTACGAAATACAGAGAATATAACAAAGCACGTAAGGTACGAATCACTTCTGACACCAATGTAGTGTCTGCCAACCTGTTCGTGTCTGAAGCACTTTTGGACTTATACAGAAAGTGTAACAGGCTGGCAGCACTAGCCGGAGGAACTTGCAAGCTCTGAGGCTTCACAACTCTTTACTCTCGAAATCAATTCCACAAAGAACTGAGAAGAATCAGCGGGTTATATAGGCCAGGGAGAGAGAGCAGCTGGGAGTGAGGGCAAAAGAAAGCAGGAGGACAACGGGACTCGAAACAGTGTGGGAGGATGAATGGACCTAAGTGGCGAGCAAGGTTTATGCAACAGGAATGCAATCTAAAAGTATGGAGGAAACTAATGTGAATGGCAGGCAGGGTAAGGGGGCATAACGATTACTAGGAAGACAACTGTTGGAAGATCTAAGGAAAAGGCATTTGAATGTGTGTGAGCTAGGGCTGATCAATAACATGGGTTCGGGGAAGAAAGCTGTTGGATGGGAAGGCATCTCGCAAGTGATCAAAAGGGGTCAGTGAGGGGGGACAGACTACACAGGAATCAATGTAATGCATATTTACAGCATGAATGCAACAGGTCAGGCCGTACCGGTCTGCAGGCAGGTTTGTCTAGTAGTCCTACTTCAAAGTAAGTGGTTGCTGGGAGAAGCACTTAGCATGTACATGTGAACTACAAGTAGCTAGTAATACCAGGAGGTTGTGTGATGACTGTTCAGTGATACTGATAGAGCTAGAGATACTACACATGTACATACATGTACATGCATCTACAGTCCATTTCAAAACTATAGACGCGTAGTGTTTTTGAAATCTTTCAAATTTGGCTGGAACGTTTTGAGAATAGTTTTCCGGGAATATTGCTCAGGTCCGCTCCACAATTACTCTCATATACATGTAGTTTCTAAACGATTGGATAACAGACGCCCAATTTGGAAAAAATTATGCACAAAGTGATCACAGATTTTATGTGGTATAGATGCTGGCATAACGGTTTTTGCCTAGGTACGTGTCTATAGTTTTGAAACGGACTGTAGTGACTATATTATTATTATTATTATTAAATTTTTGATAGGGCAATCCCCACAGGCCTAAGGCCTTTTGACAGGGTACCCTAAAAAATGAAGAACAGAATTACGGAAGGTATGCAAGGAAGAACTTGAGCGG